TCCCCTCTCCCCTCTCCCCTCTCCCCTCTCCCCCTCCCCCTCCCCCTCCCCCTCCTCCTGCTCCTTCTCTTTGCCGCTCTCCTTGCATTTCCGTTGATCCTCCTCTGAGGCGGGTTGCAAGATCTGGCAGAAATTGAGTAAAAAGCAACAATGACCGATTGATTACCCGAATACTACCCCACCCCTCTGAGATGAAACGGAAGAAATACCCCTACCCCCTTTTCTCCAGTTTTTACTGCTTCAAAATTGAAATTCTGTATGACCCCTACCCCCCAATAAATTGCGGCAGCGATTTCGTGATCCTTTCATTCTCTGCAGAAATTTTGCTGCCTTGCAAACTTCAACGGGGTGTGGGGGGTGGTCCAAATAAGGGGGTGTTATATGTAAAATTTGAAGGCGAAATATGGGTGGGGTAGGCTGGAGGCCGAGGAGGGTAGTGGGTAGGGTGGTGAGAGTGCTGGATCAATGAAGGGAGGTAGCGACGAGGATTTGGAGTCACAGAACCGGAGGAGGAGGAGGAGGAGGAGGAGGAGGAGGAGGAACGGGAAGGGGCATGAGAACGAGGATGGAAAGGAGTATGTACAGGATGGGAATGGCCGTATGAAGGTTTGGGAGATTAAGGTTGTATTCGAGGAGGTACAATTTTAATACCACCGAGGAGAAAATGAGTACGAGCAGTGCTAGAAATAGCGATGACATGATTGAAGCTGTGTTATTTGTGTGATGCATTAGAAACAACGACATCGAGAGACGGTTTTGCACCCTGTTCTGCCTTCGAATTCAGACGAAAGCAGAGACTTGTCGAACAAGATCTTTCAAATATGACTGTTTTTCGTGTTGCGTACTTGATACATCCTGGCTGATTGAAACCAACTACTTGTGATGTAAACAATCAGATTGAAGTTGGATTTTTGAAATTCCAACCATGACAATATCTATTCTTGCACGCATTGTCTCGCGGTCAAACCTGCGCAACCTGTTTGACACGTGTGCGAAGATGGGGAGCAGGACTGGAATGCGGCCGAAACTTGAGATCGAAGCGAACGCAGACAGTGCGATCTCTTCTCAGAGAGCAACACGAGCAAGGAAGAAGTCCCTGGAGCAGGAGAACGTCGCTGGCTCTCTCCTCCTCGACCACGAGTCGTCGTCGCCGGAGGTTTCCGACGGTTCGGGAAGAACGAAGAAGGCGAAGGCGAACGATCCGGCAGCAGACATGAAGGCTGAACAACAAGTGAGATAATATGTGGATTCTGCTTGCTCGATCCAAGTTGTGCATGCGCACACGTGTCCTCGCCAACGCCATTGATTTTGTCGGCTCCTTGCGCGTCTCTGTCGCGCTGCCCTGCATGTTTCGCTCCTCTTGGCTATTCTCACCTCTAGCCTGCAGGAGGAACCAAGCGCGTCTGTGCCTTGCCCGGTGGAGGAGGTGAGCCCTGCTGGAGACGAGGGGGGCAGGAGATGAGGAGGAGAGGAGCAGTGCTGGGGGGGGGGGAGAGGATGGAAGGGTGGTAGGAGCAGTGAGGAGGAGAGACAAAGGAGAGGAGGGAGGGAGGGGAGGGAGGTATGTAGAGGAGGCAAGGGCAGAGGCGGGGGCAGGGAGGTGAGAATAATGATTCTTGATGATGGAAGGTGAGGAAGGACAGCAACAAGCCGAAGCTGGAGCACCTGATCATCCCTGAAGACTCTCTGACTACTGTCGAGGTCATGACGCCGCACAACGTCGGAGCGACTAAGGGGCCGGCGGTGTTCATGGCAATGGTGGATGAGTCCTCGCCCTCCCGGCTGCAGTCAGTTGAGTCGATCCTCGCTGACTTCAAGACGGAGGAGGAGAGGAGGAGGGCGGTGAACGAGGCGGAGGAGCACGGGTACACGGCCCTGATGCGCTGCTCCTTCGTGGAGGAGGAGCGAGTTTGCGGTATGCTGCTGGAGGCGAAGGCCGATGTCCTCCAAAGGGACCTGCGGGGCAACAACAGCCTGCATTGGGCAGCGTTCACGGGCAACGAGGGCGTGATGGGCCTGCTGCTGGGTCAGAGGAAGGGAGGAGGAGGAGTGGACGACGCGAACGCTGCCGGGGAGACTCCGATGCACATCGCCTCCTGCAAGGGGCACGAGAAAGTTTGCGTCCTCCTCCTTCAGCACGGGGCTGATCCAAGGAGGAGGAACCTGAGGTTTCAGACGCCACTGGACGTTGCTGCGGTGGACAACGCGTCCTCCTCCTCCTCCTCCTCCTCCTCTTCGTCCACGAGCATGGCGAAGGGGGGGAAACTCGCGATGAGAGTGAGCTGTGCGGCGAGGAAGAGGGTGCGAAAGGCGATCCTGAGCTACGACAAGGACCATGGAGGAGGGGGATGCCGAGTGCTCGTCGTGCATCACGACGACTGTCTCGAGCACCACACCAAGGTCGGTCATCAGGAGGCGCCGGATCGGGTGCGGGCGATCCTGGCGAAGCTGAGGTCGACGAGGGGAGCGGACAAGTTCGAGGACTACGAGCTGAGCATCGACTGCTCCTTCGAGCCTGCAAGGGAGGAAAGCGTGCTGAGGGTCCACTCACGAGCCTACGTGAGTTTCGTCAGGGAGCTGTCGGAGCAGGTCGCGTCCTCGGAGGGCCCGGTGCCCTTCACTCCGAGAGTCCAGACGGCACTGGCGAGCAGCGGAACGAGAGGAGGGTGGGAGACTGCGGACGGGGAGGGAGACACTTTCTTCTCCAAGGGGAGCTACCGGGCTGCGCTGCGGGCAGCGGGAGGGGTGTGCCATGCTATCGACCAGGTGGTGCGGGGGAAGGCGAGGGCAGCGTTCTGCTGCGTCCGGCCGCCCGGGCATCATGCGGGGAAGGACGGGCTGATCAAGGACTGTATCTCGTGCGGGTTTTGCATCTTCAACAACGTGGTGGTGGGAGCGGTACATGCGATCGAGACGTACGGGGAGAAGGCGAGGAGGGAGAGGAGGCTCAGGAAGAGGAGTGACACAACGAAAGAAGTGAAGGAGGAGGAAGGGAAGGAGAAGGGAGGTGAGGAAGTGAAGGATGAGGTGGAGGAGGGACAGGAGGTGAAAGAGGAGGTTGATGATGGGGAGGTGAAGGTGAAGGTTGAGCAGAGCGATGGGAAAGAGGAGGAGGATCAGACAGGAAAACAGACTAAGAAAGATCAAGTTGGAGGAGCAAACAAGGAGGGTCGGGAGCAGGAGGACGACGAGGACGAGGACGAGGACGAGGACGAGGAGCGTGTGGTGATCCGCAAGGTGGCGATCGTCGACCTCGATGTGCATCACGGGAACGGGACGGAGGAGCTGGTAAGGCTGAGGTCGCGGCAGCATCCCGACGAGATGTTCTTCTTCTCCATTCATCTCTTCCAGCCGCAGCACACGGGGATCCCGGAGGCGTACGAGTTCTACCCGGGGACAGGAGGAGGAGACATCGTCCAAGACAACGTCGTCAACGTGCCCATCTACCCTTGCTGGTGTGTTGAGGGCAACGGGCCGTCCAAGAGGACGAGGGTGGCGAGCAAGAGGGAACCGGGGGAAGGAGGAGGAGCTTGCAGCGTGCTGCCAGGGTGGGCGGGGCAGGAGATGTTCAAGCGTTGCCATGGGAGGAACTACTTCCGTTCGCAGGTGGGAAGAGGAAAGGGGAGGGAGAGGAGAGGGAGAGGCGGAGGAGAGGGAGGAGAGGGGAGGAGAGGGAGGGAGGAAGAGGAAAGGTGAATACTGAAGTGCGAGCATTGACTCTGGTGCAGATCCAGCACAAGCTTCTCCCTACCTTGAGAGCTTTCTCGCCGGACCTGATCATCCTCTCCATGGTGAAGAAGAGGAGAACGAGGAGGGGAAGAAAAAGAGAGGAGAACGAGGAGCAGAGGAGCAGGAGCAGGAGAACGAGGAGCAGGAGCAGGAGCAGGAGCAGGAGCAGGAGCAGGAGCAGGAGCAGGAGGCAGATTCTGATTGCCGCTGCAGGGATTTGATGGAGCAGAAGGAGACGTGGGGAACGCGAACCTTTGGCTGGACAACATGCCGGGAGGACTCGACCTGACATGCGAGGTAGGAAGAGAGGAGCGAGAGGATTGAGGGAGGAAGAGGAAGGGGGGGGGGGCGGAAGTTGAGCAGGATTTGTTGTGACTGGGCTGAAGGACTACCGTTGGGCTACGGAAGAGATTTGTTCCCTTGCAGGTTCATCCTGCCCCTTCTTACCTCCGCTCCTCCTCCTCCTCTATCTACATCTCCTCCTCTTCTCCTCCTCTTCTCCTCCTCATCTCCTCCTCTTCTCCTCATCGTCCTGCTCGAATCTGACCTCCCCATTCCACTTGCCTCCAACACTCCTCGTTCTCCTCCTCTCTTCCTCTCACTGCCTCCTGCAGACGTCTGCTGCGACGGCAGAGTTGTGTCCGTCCTCGAGGGAGGGTACGGCAGGAGAGATCGCCGACATGGGGAGGTAGGATCAGAGCATCTCAGATGGAGGGGAAGTGGAGGAGGGGAAGAAGGCATACTGGAGGAGAGCAGAAGGAGGACATGGACGGAAGAGGGAAAGAGCAGGAAATTGAGGAAGAGGGAAGTTGGCGGAAGAGGAGCAGCAGCAGGAGGGGAGGGGGAGCAGGATGTGGTGATGGTCAAGGTAGAGGAGAGGGTGGTGAAATCCTGCACACAGACACGATGCTGGCTGGATCGTTCGCTTCTAGCAGACAACTGCTGCTCCCACGTGCGAGGTATCACTGACCGCTCCCTGCCCATCAGCCGCACCGTCTTCCTCCCTCTTCTTTCTTCCCGCAGCCCTCCCGCCCCCGCCCCCGCCCCCCACGCCCCCCTCCCTTCCCGCTTTTACTCTCTTCCTCTTTCCTTTCCATGGCATTCCCTCCCTTCCGATCTACTCTTCCGTCTCTCCCTCCTCCACCTCCACCTCCACCTCCACCACCTGCTCCTCCTCCTCCTCCTCTCACGCGCCATGGCAGGTCTTGTCGGCACAGACACTTCAGCACGCCAGTCGCTACTTTGAACTCACCACCACCACCCCATTACCATCTGGTCTCCACCACCCCTCCTCCCTGCTCCTCCGTGCCCCCCTTGTGGAAATTGTGAGCTGTCTCTTGGATTTTTTGAGATTTTTTTCTGTCACAGGAGACATATGCTGCTTGTAAACCTAGAAACATTCTCTCCTCCTCCTCTCCCCTCCCCCTCCCTCCACCCGTTGGTCTCCCCTCGCCTTCCTCTTCCTCCTTCAATGCGTTACCATCTCTCACTGCAAGAGAGCCAAGACGAGGCTGGCCTGCTCGCTCGTTAGAATTTCACGCGGGCGGGGGAGGGAGAGGAACGAAGAGTGAGCGGAAGGAGTGAGAAAATCATATACATCATCATCATCATCATCATCATCATCATCATCATCATCATCATTAGCAGCAGGAGCAGGAGCAGGAGCAGGAGCAGGATAAAGATTTGCAACGAGGACTGGAGAAGACGACCGGTGGGGGAGGGGACAAGACAGTTCTAGGAGAGCGATCGAGATAGGAGGAAGTAGGGAGGACTCACAGACTGCGGGAGAGCGCCTTGGAGAGCTTCAGGAGGAGGAGGTTGGAGGGGTCCTCTTGACTCCAGAAGTGCCACCGCAACGAGGTAGAGAACACTGAGAACCTGAGGGGAGAGAAGGGAGGGTCAGGTAAAGCACACTTCACGCGCAGATGACGAAGTAAACGCAGGAGCAGGAGCAGGAGCAGGAGTAGGAGCAGGAGCAGGAGCAGGAGCAGGAGCAGGAGCAGGAGGGGCAGGGGCAGGGGCAGGGGCAGGGGCAGGGGCAGGGGCAGGAGCAAAGGCAGGGGCAGGCCTGACATTCATGGGTCCCTCACCAGTGCGACGGCTCCAGTAGTGATGGCCAAAAGCTTCTTGTTCTTGTCCCCGTCTTCCTCCCCAACCTGACCAGCAACTTCACACACCACTATCTCCTCCTCCTCCTCCTCCTCCTCCTCCTTCCTATGCGACCCAACAGCACGTTACGCGCACATCACTGGCTTCACAGACATTCGAGCATTTGATGCATCTCAAGGTTCAGCAGCAGCAGCAGCAGCAGCAGCAGCAGCAGCAGCAGCAGCAGCAGCATTCTTGCTCCTCACCTCGAGGTCCTTAGCCCACTGGTTCTCCGTCCTGGCGAAGGAGGGAACCTGAGGATCAGGAGATGAGAAGGAGAAGCGAGGAAGACAGGAGAAAGAGTCGAGAAGAGCAGGAGAGCAGAGAGATAGGAGGCAGGAGGCAGGAGGGGAGAGTAAAACAGATGTCCGAGGAGACAGTGGAGGAGCCAGCAGGATTGAGTTTTGCGGAAGGGAAGAGCAAAGAGTAGGAGAACGGAAGGGGGGGGGGGGCAAGAAGAGAGCAGGAGAGCAGGAGAGCAGGAGAGCAGGAGAGCAGGAGAGCAGGACCTGGGGCTTCACAGCATAGGGATCTTCCTTCGTCTCCTCCTCCGGCTGATTTGTCTGCATCCTCAAAGTGTTCCTGCTCCTGAGCACGAGAGGTCTGCAGGACTTGACCGCAGCCAAAGACGAAGATGAGAGGAAGGGAGCATGGGAGAAGCAGGACGACTGCGAAACAGTTAGAGGAGGAGGAGGAGGAGGGACAAGGAGCTGGGGCGAATGATGAAGAGAATGAGAAGCTGGAACGGGGAGGGAGGGGATTTGCTGTGGTGGCGATGAAGAAGGGGAGGGGAGGGGAGGGGAAGGGAGGGGTCGGAGGATCGTGGGGATCAGACAGCAGTACAACTATGCATATACCTCAACAACGTAGGTCAGGACAACAAGAGCGAGCATGACTGCCTTCTGTGACATCTGCAAGATAAAATTCAAAAGCTCTTCCCAATGCCACACGTCTTCTGATATCAAACTCGCTTCCTCTCCCTCTCCCTCCCCCTCCACCTCGCTCTTCCAATCCACATCCCCCGCAGCCCGGGCCTCCTCCTCATCCTCATCCTCATCCTCCTCCTCATCCTCCTCCTCCCCCCCCCCCCCCATTTCCCTTCGCTCCGCCCCTGCTCCTCCCTCATTTCGCTTTTATATGTAAACGATTGATCATCACCCTCGCACCCCACTGCTAGCTGGTAGGTCAGGTTCTTTACAGCTATCCCTGACTCACTGAGTGTCCGGCGGACTGTACGGTCCCGGGGCCGGGCGGCCCACCGTGACCGTGACTGATATCCGATGATCAGTCAGTGACCGTAGTACCGGGCCGCCGCCGCACGGTTCCGACTCCGTGACCGGCGTGAGAATGCGTCTCATTCCTTCGGGGGCGGCCGCCGCCACGTATGGCCTGTGCAACACTGACACTGACTCTCTTGATTGTCCGATCCTCGTACTGATTTTTAACTTAGCGGCCCGGGCCACTGCCAGGGCACTGCCACTGGCGGCTGAACTGAGGCCCTCCGAACGTGACCGGGCCCGACGGTTCGCATTGCCGGGACAGTTACGTCAGTCCTCCGAACCCGGGTGACGGCGAACCTCGCGATCAACACAAGTCAAGTTCGGGGATTGTGCTTTATTGTCGGGAGCTGACTATCATGGCAGTAATCATTGAATCATCTCACTTTAGGGCCTTCAAGACCGTGGCATTGAGGAACTGAACAGCATCAGCCGGCCTTATAATAGCCGGCGAGTTGTGATCGGACTCCGACGTGAGGCGGCAGCAGCTGAGTCGACCCAGCTAAGGAATCGACTGCCCGAGGTCTGTAGATAGAGGAGGGCGAAGTCTCAAGTTCCTTCCTGCTCTGTAAGTTCATCAGGTCAGGGACATCTCGGCCTCGATCTTGGTGATGTAGTCCACGAACTCGTGCTTCTCGATCTCCCCCGACCCGTCCTTGTCGATCTGCTGCAGGAAGTAGAGGATCCCTGCACTGTCCCAGTTCTTCCCCAGCTTGGAGATCTGCTGGACGATCTCGTCCTGCTGCACCACCCCACTGCCATCCTGGTCGAAGATGCGGAACATTTTCTCCGCGAGCTCCGCGTAGGAGACTTTGCCCTTCTTGGAGTTCTTCTGGTGCAGGATCACCATGGCGAACTCCTTGAAGTCCACAGTCCCGCTGCCGTCAGCATCCATGATCCTGAAGAGGTTCTCCGCCTCCTCCTCCGTGAGCTTCGTCCCCATCTGCTCTACCAGCTCCTTCACCTCCTGGCAGTCCAGCTCGCCTGACTCGTCGGTGTCGTAGGCGAGGAAGAGCGCGTTTAGATCGTCGACCACGTGCGGGTCAGTCTGCGCCATCAACTTCTCCCACTGCGCCTCCGTGATGGCGGCCTTCTGGTCGTCGGCACCCTGGGCCTTGCTAGACATGCTCTTGAGGAACTCGACCTGGTCAAGGAAGTAGGAGAGCATGGAGAGGATGCGGAGGATGTCGAGCAGCTTGTCCTGCTTCTGCTTCCTGACCACCTCGATCACCACATCGATATCCTTGAGCATCTCCGTAGAGCAGCACCAGGTGTACAAGATCACCATGCGGGGAGTGAGGAAGATGCAGATGATGGCTGGGACGATGGCGAGGAAGGGGAGGAGCGGGTTCAGAGTCCAGAGGGGCTGGAACAGGATGACGCAGAGGGCGGCGATGGAGACGACGGAGCCGAGGAGGATAAGCTTGAGGTAGTGCAGGTAGATCAGCGGGCCCCTCGCTCCGAGCGGTCCGAAGAGCTGCTGGTGCTTGGAGGGAAGGTGAGTCTTGGGGAAGATAAGGTCAAGTCCGGAGTTGACCCAGCTCGAGTTCCACTCCTTGGTCGCCAGCTTCATCTCCTCCATGTAGCGAGGAGGCATGATGAGCTTCTGGAAGTCCACAGTCTTCGAGGCCCCGCTCGAGATCCTTTCTAGCTCGCTCCCCCTCACCCCGGGGATCAACATCATCTTGATGTACGCCAGCGACCTAAAGCCCAGCACGGCGAAGACCAGCAGCGCCAGCTGGAGGACGGCGAAACCAGCGCAGACAGCGTAGATGGGCATGTCGCCGTCTTTCATGCTGGGGAAGAAGGTCTGGACAAGGGCGTTGAGGACGAAGAGGAGCAGGAAGACGCTCCACAGGACAGCCCAGTCCCACACCGTGATCTCCACCACCTCCGCAAGGTACTTGGCGATCATTCGCTCGAGGTACTCGGAGAAGCTGAAGTCCTCGGGGATCGCGACCGGGCACTCGACGTCCTGGATGAACCTCTGCCTGCAGGAGGACGGGAGGGCGTCAGTCGCTCGGCCCCCAGCCCTCTCGTCGTCGTCACCTGAACCTCATGAACTCTGCCTCGCGCGTCTTCAAGTCCTTGGTGTACTCGGAGGTCAGCGTCCCCTCCATGGCGATGCTTTCAGCTGAGATAGACAGCAGTTCCTTGATCTCGTCCTTGGACTTCCCTGCTCCCACCTCCTCCAGGAGCAACGTCTCGTGGTCCTGCCATGCCTGCTTCTGGGCCACTGCGAGAGAGGATCAGGTCAAGGAGGAGTAGGGAGGAGGCTCACCTGTGATCTGCAAGATGACGAGGACTGAGGACACAAAGAAGACCATGACGAAGAACACGAGGAAGTGAAGGATCTCGAACTCGTGGATTAGGAGGTGGTTGTCTCCTGTATACCTGTAGGGGAAATGTTATGATTGCGAGCCAGTGCGAGAAAGGTGAGTAAAGGGTCAGATTAGGAGAGGGGAGGGGAAGGGAGAGCAAGGGGGAGAGCAGGTGGGGCAGGGGAGGAGAGGAGAGGAGGGGGGCAGGGTAACAGACGAAGTCTCATCATACCAGAAGGACAGATGGCCAAGGATAGACTCCTGATTAGCGAATCCCGTGGTGAGGACAAAGGCGATAGTGCCGATGAAACCAAGAGTCGCGAGCTCTCCAAAGAACTTGTCGACAACGGCTGCAAAACACTCAGTCAGCTCCCTTGAGGGCGAGCGACGGGGGGGGAAACCCTGACTGACCTCTCATCGTGGGTGGAGTGTTGTTCTGGACAATCTCCTTCATACTCTCAAAGATCACCGAGGCCGTCACGATGGCAGTGACAAAAATAAGAGCCCACAGGCGCTCTGGTATCGCAGAATGAGAGGAGGGGTTAAGAGACTTTTGATCACCTGCTCGCTCCTGCGCTGGGGTCAAACTGTGGTGTCCTCCTTCATCCTCAGTGAGGGCGTCTTCGTCCTCATCCTCCTCGTGTGAGAGCTGCGAGAAACATCAGGCATGGCAGCGGACGCTCGGTCGGAGCTCAGACCTGCACGGAGTTGAGGGAGGGGAGGTTGCGCATTTTGGACACAGCCTTGTCGATGATCTGCCAGCCTCATGCTCAGCCTTGTAAGGACACAGGTAGGGAGCAGGCAACCTCATACTGCACATGTCGCTCCGATGGGTTCCGCGCCGGCAGAACTAGCGACATCTGGTCCTTCTCTGGGAGGTTGAGGATTGCACGGACGACCTGAGAAGAGTTTTGAGGACCCGGGGAGCACACGAGAATAAGCTTGCCTCCGGTGATAGCTTGACGGCAGGAAGAGGGTCCCTGCCACGGCCCATCTCCTTGGGGAGCGAGGAGCTGCCGCGAAATAGAGTGAGACGAGGGAGGAAGGGAGGGGGGGAGGAGGGGAACGAAAGTTCTTACAACTCATGGTTGCCGAGCAAATGCATCGTCTTCGATACCTGGGAGCACAGACTGTCAGTGAGAGCATCCGACACAAATTTGGAAACAGCACGACATCCGCCCCACAGCACAAGAACAAGCATTCGCAGCGCTCAATCTGGCATTGAGCGCAAACAAGTTTCCCTCGGATTTCATGAGAGGAGGACTCACATGCTTCGACAAGTATGAATTGTTCGCTGCAAGAAGAACGCCTCCGATGGTCACCACAGTGGCCAGTGCAATAAGGATCCTCGAGCTGTGAGGGCAGCAAACTCGTCAGGGCAGGAGAAGAAGCTTCAAGTGACAAACCTCGTCCTCCTCGCCCTCTCTCCCTTGACCTCTTTCCTGCCCTCCAAAGATCAGAGATCCGCACAACACAGCGTTTGCACGCCCTCAAACTCACCTCCAATCCGATCCGGAGGGAGCCATGGAGGACACCCTTGAAGTGAAACTTGTCAGTGCACACCCAAACTAATGTTTCCCATGGAACTCTCTATCTCTCTCACCCTCTCATCCTGACCCCCACGATCCGCTCGATCTGATGGGAACATTCTTCTACGATCCTCCTCAACTTCGAATCGAATAGAATCTACCTTCACGACTCTCACTACTCAGATTAGCCGCGAGTGCTGCCTTTGAATCGCCCTAGTACCCATAGAGAGGTTTCTCCCATCTCCCACTCTCCTTCCTCTGTCCTCCTTCCATCCCATTCCTCTCTCAGCTCGTAAATCTCTTCACCATAGCGGCAATTCACGTTGTACTCCTCGACCTCTCTACAACCATCTTCCGATAGTCATTAAGACTAACTCCGCGCATCCCTCAGTATTGGTTCTTACTCCCTCTGCTCCACTATCTTCTCCTCCACTCCCTACCACTCTCCTCACTTGCAACAACCTCTCTCTCCCATTACAACGTCTCTCATCCCCCCCCCGTCTGCTCTTCTCTGCCATCTCTGCTCTCTTCCCTTCGCTCCCCTCCCTCCCCACCATCGCCCCTCGCATCCTGCATGGCGAAGGGTCATGTATTTGTATTCACTACTACCCCTTGTTTTCAAAGTTTTGAGAGCTCAGAGAAGGGGGTACTCCAAGAGTGAAGTCCAAAAAAAAGAAGTACATTGCGTAAAAGAAAAAAAGAACTCACAAACTCCATTTTTCGTGAATATCTCCCAAAACGATGGGAAAATTTTCGAAATATAAGTTTCAAGTTCAATATCTGCTGATACAGTTCAAAATTGCCTCGGAAATAGACAACACTTCACAAGCATACCGGCACACAAACTCAAGAAGATATAACCCCAGGGTGGGGTACTCAAAATGGGGATGCTGCTCAAATGGGGGTGGGGTACTTTATGTTGGGGTGGGTAGCCTTCTTTCTAGTCTCAGGGAAGTTCAGGGGGTAGTGTAACACTAAGACACGTTCTGGATAGGGTGGGTAGGTGACTTTGTCCTATGATGGACTTATGATTTTGTTGGAGGGTAGGGGTAGGGGTAGGTCACACACAGGTACAATTGCACCCAGCAAGGAACAGAGATCAGACCTAAGAGGGTGGGGTAGTAGGAAGGAAAAGGTCCTGGTGGGTAGGCTGGGAGATAGGGGTAGTGGGTGTGGGTGGTGACAAGGACGAGGGGGGCACGGGCGTTTCCATGAAGTTTGATGGGGCTGGGCATGGTGGGAGGGATGGAGACGGAAGGAGGAGAAGGAGGAGGAGGAGAGGCGTGAGCTATGGAGGAAGAGGAAGAGAGGTATCGGAGAGGGAGGAGAGAGAAGGTGATCGTGGTTGATGCTATCTGTGGGAGATGGCAGATTGAGGATACGGTTGATGCAGGTTTTTTTTGAAGCGCGTGTGTTGGCAGATCCGAGGATGGAGTCCGAGGTTTCATCACGCAGCGATGGTCATGATGTGTTCAGCTTCTCGGTCTTGGATGCCTTGACAGGTCAGAGAGTCAATCTCAGCCTGCCATGCGGCTGCAGGTCAGCGCAGCCATGTTTGTCGTCGGCCGCACCTGACGCCCCCTCAGTGTTCGCGAGCTTCGGAGAGCATTCGCTTCTTCCGTGGAGCATTCTAAAGTGGCTGAGATCATCTTCTTGAGCGTCGAGCAAGGAGAAAGCCATGCTCCTCCCGTCGAGCTGCTCGATGGAAAATGGTTGTCCCAGTACGAAATCCCCAAGAGCGACAAGAAGGTCTTCGCCTTCGACATGTCGCGGATACGGTGATGCAGAGAGAGAGGAAAGAGCATGATCGAGCTCAAAGATCGGCAGGTGTGCGGACGATGAGGGATGTCAGTCCGAACTAGGTAGGTCGACAAGGAGCCTCTTCGATGGGGAGGGGGCGCCTGCGATGAGGAGCAGTGGGCTGCTGTCCGGTAGCGGCAGAGATGGAGAATCGAACGAGGACGTGGAACTTCTCAAGGATCTTTCTTTGCTGTCGAAGCAGATGCTTCCTGTGGAACAGAAGATCCGAGGGAGGCACCAGAGCGCGACGAAGCTGGTGAGTTGCCTCGAAATGCCTCAGACTCGCCTGCACCTGTAGCGCTGGAACGAGCGCGAAGATAGAGATATGCTCCTTCTCGTGCATGTCGAATGCTGCAGATGGCATCCTGACGTTGATCGACGGTCAGGTTGACAAGATGGTCGAAGGCTTCGAGATCGCGAGCATTCAACAGGAGTCCATCAACGTGCTCATCTGGTGATATCGATCAACATTCTTCTGGGACACGCGTGCACGTGTGGTCTCATGTCGGTCTCCTCAGGTATCTCGAAGAGCTGGAGTCCAAGGATGACGGAGCTGGGAACCGGTCAAGGCAGAGTGTCGACCGCGAGGAGCGGGCCAAGCAGCTGGCGATGTTCGAGTCTTGCAAGGAGAGGATAGCGAAGCTCGAGCAGATGCCCGTCGATGAGGGGCTCATGGAGTGGTTCAAGCTGTCTGGACGACCACTGGACGACTCCCTGCTGCGCAACGTCCTCAGCTTCAGCGGGAACTACGAGCTCGTCATGCTGCTCAAGGAGAGATGCAGCGTCTGGTAAGACCGGATTCGCCTTTTGCTCCTCCTTCCGCAGCTGAGCCATCTTGCAGGAGCCAGACACACGCGCAGGACTTCGATGCATGCAGCGAGGAGGATGCCCCGTCCTTGAAGAGAAGCTCTCTCTCCCTGGACTTCGATGATCGGATCAGGATCATGTACATGACCATGAAGGCCTCGCGTGATCACTCCAGCGAGAAGCTGAAGCAGCTCAATCAGATCGCCTGCAAGATCTTCCAGCTCAACGAGGCCACACACGGAAGGGTCCGGCGGCTCTCCAAGCTCCTGACCGAAGGGGACAGTATCACGAAGCAGGAGGTGCAGAATGCTACTAGCGAGGCCCAGGAAGAGCTGGGCTACATGCAGGCCGAGAGCCGGACGGTGGAGAATCTCTCCATCTCCATCACTGAAGGCTCGGTTGCGTTTGCCTTCCACTTCCAGCAGTGGATCCGCCTTGCCACGTCATCTCTGCAGCATCTCGTCCGTGCAGCTTTCCCCAAGTCCGATGGCATGCCGCTGGATCAGAGGATCAAGGAGGCGGTGGACTTCAAGTCGGGCGTTCAGATCCTGCACGAGGAAGTGGAGAGAGCAGGAGACATCTACGAGAGCTTGCTCAACGAGCTCAAGAGGAGGACACTGTATCTCAAGGCCTGCCAGGAATACATAGATAGGATGAAGAGAGAGACTGAGGGCCTGGTAGCCCGAGAGAAGGACTTGCGGGCCCGGTGGTCAACCAAGGCCTCATCCCAGCATTCAGTCTCCGATGTCATCCAGCTTGCGTTTGACCTGCTCGAGGAGGGGGAGGAGCCTCCCGCGGCTTCGATCTCGCTGCCGTTGGATGAGGCGGATGAGAGGCTCCTGAGGATCAGCTCGTTGGATGGCCAGAGTGAGAGCAAGCAGGGGGAGAGGGGGAAGTCTGCATGGCAGGATGAGGGAAGGAGCAGGGAGGAAGGGTTGGACTTCAGCTACCTGTCCATGTCTGAGATCGTGGAGCAAGAGGCGAGTGAGCGCAAGGGAGGCGGGGGGGAGGAGGCGCAGGAGGAAAGAGCTCGAGCTCTGCTGGAGGAGGAGATCAGGAGTCTCATGGCGGTCATGGAGTCGAGGATGGAGGATCTGCATGCCATGTGCTTACGGATCGAGGAGAACGTGCAAACGTCACTGGCCCTCAGGCCTCGGGAAGAAACCTCTTCCTCCTCAGCCGGTGCAGCTGCTGGCAAGAGAAACGAGGTCCTCCTACCGCAAGGGCGCCAAGCGCCCTCAGCACCTCTCGATTATAGAGAGCAGGCGGACGAGCCATCACATCGCAGTGCAGCAGCAGACCCCCTCATCTCGAGCCAGTTCGATCCCGACATGCTCTTCCGCGAGAGGCAAGAGCTGCACGCGGCTCTGGTTGGCCTGGCAGAGTCTGCATGCTTGTTCAGCGAGGAGACGAGGCAAGGTGGGCTGTTGCTCTACTCCTTCTCGCCTCCCTCCCGGCTGATCTTCCGCCGGCTCCTTCCTGATTGCTGATTCTTGCTTCTTTTTCACAGGGAGGATCGAAGTCCTTCAGAAGGCCTTGAGGAGGGCGGCGACCTACATCAAACACCTCTGCAACGAGCTTGATGTGATGCAGGCAGATTCGACGGTCCTCAAGAAGACCGGTGCGAGTTTTCTCCCTCCTCCTCCTCCTCCTCCTAACTCACAAATCTGCTGGCAGAGGCTGAAGTTCAGATGGTGACCGATCGCCTTCACGTTTGCCATGCCTGCATGGACGAGATGCTCGGTTCGATGAGTGTGCGGCGGGACCAAGAGGACCAGGAGGAGAGGATGAGCGCGAACGGTGAGGGGACGAAAAGAGGGGTCCTGACAGGACTGACTGGGATCACCAGAGAGCAAGCTTGTCGTCCTGGTCAACAGCCTTGAGGTCAGTGAGACCCTGAGGAAGAGGAGCGGATCTGACTGGAGGATGACAGGGGAAGGTCGCCAGGCTGATGAGGAACATGACTGGCTCGACGGCAGCGAAGCAGTCCGAGAACTCGCTTGTTAAGGTGACGCCTCCAGACCTCCCCCCTCGTCAGCTCACGGGGCTGACAGGAGCTCGTAGATGACCTTGCCAGGTTGAACTCAGAGAGGAAGGAGCTGCTGAGGTCTGCTGCTGTCGGTGGGGGCCGGCGGAACTGATACAAAGGATGGCAGGCAGATCGAAGTGCTAAACGAGCGCTGCTCTATGTACATGTCACAACATTCGGACGAGGCGATGCAGGACGTGTGAAGGATGCGGACGGCGATAGCGGAGATTCTACCAAGTCGCTTTAACTGTTGGACTGTAAACTATGCTCATTAAAACACATGACGGTCGTCCGTTCTCGTCTTCCTCCCTTTCTTCTCCTCCCTCCTGCTCCCCTGCTCCTGCTTCTCCCCTTTCTTCCTCATTGCATCCACGGGACGGCAGGCGAGTACTCGGCGATCTCAAAGTCCTCGGGGGACTCGGAGGTGTAGTCGCCTGCGGGAAGAGGATGAGGAGCAAGCAAAAGTATTCTTCACTCACAGATAGCGTAAGGGCACCACACGTTGGTGTTCCAGCTGGTGGGCTCCTCCGACGGCTCAGACAGCTGGTAGGGTAAAAGTCAAACGCACAACACACTTTCTCCTCCCTTCCTCCTCTTGCTACTTCGCTCCCCTTCCCCTTCCCCTTCCCTCTGCCTCTGTCCTTCCCCTCATCTCCTTCCATCGTCCTCCCCATCCACCACATCCGCCTTACATCATCCATGGAGTCGTAGTCCTCTACAGGAGTGTTCGCTGCCACAGCTTGCCAGAACTCCGCGTCCATCGCTGGCTCCTCCCGGTCGATCATGACGAAGTTTCTGCCTGCCTTCAACTTCATCCTCCTCCTCCTCCTCCTCCTCCTCCTCCTCCTCCTCCCAAAGCTCACGCACCGTCGAAGTTCTCCGGCCAGGACGAAGGGGGCAGCTCTCGCCGATAGACGTATCCACCGGGAGGCGCGAGGTACCTACGGTCTTCGAGGAACGAGGGGGGTCGCTGGAACAGGGCCGTCCTGGTGCTGCCCCCTCCTCCCCTCCATCCCACAGTCAAGGTAAGAGCTGCAACAGAGGCGACGGCGAGCACGATGGCAAGTTTGAGAGGGCCCGGGCCCTCTCCTATAGCCATTTTGCGCCTTTTTGAATCTGCTCTACGACATCAGTTTTTTATCGCTCGATCCTCCATTGCCCCTCTTCCCGATTGCCCACTCCTCTCCACCAAAGAAGCCTTGCAATCTGTAGATCCCTTCACTTCACTCTCCTCCCCTTCACTCCCTCCCTCTCCTCTGAGATTTACCCTGTCATCTCTCTCCTCCCCAACGTTCCTTAAGCATCGTATGCGGCACTTCGCAAAAGGTCCCCCCCCCCCCCCCCCCCATCCCCTCTCTGGCCCGGCACCGGCTGCGGCACCTGCTGCGGCACCGGGTCGTCAAGCCCAGCCTTTACTCAAAGTTAAGTTAAAAAGCAGTACGAGCAGACAAGTTCCCAGCAGTCAAGTCTCTCAGAGTGATTGCCCTCGTACTGATTTTTAACTTAACTTTGAGTAAATGTGTGGCTCAGGAGCCTCACTGGTCAGGGTCCCGGGTGACACAGCGGCCCGGGCCCGGGCCCGGCGGCCCGTCCCGAGTCCGAAGTTAACACTCCTGCAAAACGGGGCTAGGGACATGGCCCGACGAGCAGCCTGAGTCAGGTGGGGAGGGTGAGAGAGCTCGCGCAGGTTGAAGCGAGACATGCTGGGCGAGAAGAGGAAGAGCGGGACCGGGTGCCAGAGATCAAGGGGGAGAGAGGTACCACAGTGTGAAGCCAGTGAAGCAAGGAGGGTGTGTGAGCACTGCGGGAAAAGAGGGAGGAAGCCGGGGCGGGAGGGGGAGCCTGGAGAGAGTAGGAACCCCTTGAGAGGCAGGGAGGGAGGAAGCGAGCGAGTCGGAGAGGGGGAGGGAGAAAAATTCGGGGAAGGTGAATGACTTGACGGTGACTCACTGAAGTTCTGCATCAGAAACATGTCGAGAAGAAGTTGCAGCATCGGGCAGGCGGATGGAAGCGAGAGGGGCAGGAGGGATGAAGTTGCCAGCCGTGTCCGTCGATTCCTTGCTCTAGTGGAGGAGTGAAGCTTCAGAAGGAGGATGAGGTTGGGGAGCCTGGTGAGGAGCTTACAGGTCGGTCTATACATCGTCATCCCGTTCACTGTGCTTCTTATGCATTCGTTGGTGCCGGCCGCGCGCGATGTCAAGCACGCAAGTAAGCAGGAAGTTGGGTGCAACGATGGCATACTGGTGAAGAGTCTGAAATGGATGGGTCCTTACTCCCCGGCCTTCTATTCCAACGGCAAGCGGCATAGCTCGTTTTACAGCTTGAAGGAGGCGAAAGTCGCGTGCGAGGCTGCCCTGACCTGCGAGGGAGTGACCGGCGCGTGGAGCCCGGCGAAGATACCCGAGGAGGAGTGGGTGTGGGAGCTGAGAGCTCGGAAACCCAGCAGAGAAGTGATGTGGATCTCGCCATCCAGCTCGGAGGAGGTGACGTACGTGTACAACAGGAACCTCTCGCTCCTCAATGTCTGCTGCCCGAAGAAGTTCACCTCCATGCTCCCGGTCTTCTACATCAATCTCGGGTACCGGGCAGACAGGAGGAGGAACCTGCTGTCCAACCTGGCCTCCAAGGGCGTCGATGTGGTGAGGTCCGTCAGCCGCCAGAACGGCATCAACAGGAGCCTATACGAAACCGCCACTGACATCCTCGTTGCTTGGAAGCAGCCGCTCACATCTAGCAGCGTCTGGAAAGGCCAACTGATCAATGGCAAGCCGCCCAACACTCGCAGCGAGCGGTTCAAGGGCAAGGTTGCGAGCTGGGTAGCTCACCGAGTCGTATGGGAGCGAATCATGCGAGCAAGGAACTTTCCCAGAGGAGCATGGTTTCTGATCCTCGAGGACGACGTCAGGATGATGGACTCTGTGGAAGCATTCTTGGACAAGATGAGCGCCACCCTCTGCCTCTACCCCCACGCCGACATGATCTACCTCACTGGACGCGAGGTACCTCCCCTCCTCCCTGGCAACATGGTAGCCTACATGGGAGTGGATGCGTACGCCGTCTCCTCCAGGGCTATCCCGAAGCTCCTGAACTCGACGGTGCTGGGAAAGCTGCTGGTGGTCAACACGACAGCGCTCGACGCCTATCTCTCTGCCCTGGTGCTTGCGGACATCATCGACGCTCGGATGGTGGTAGGTGGAAACCCCTTTGTGAACAGCTGGAAGCAGTTCAAGTCCGACATCGAGGTCAGAGGCTGACCACAGTCACTCGGACGGTGTGGCCGCCGGTGACCGTCCGCGGCCGGGGCCCGGGCCGCCGGATGCTCAGTCACTGAGCATCGGCCCGGGCCCCCCCCGGCCACGGTGCGCCGGACCGTCGCCGTGACCGTGCCAGTGTGACCGGCGGCGCCGTGACACTCCAAGCAGAGGTGCTCAGACGGTTTCCTCGGATCATTTACCGTAGTACAGTACCGGAGCCCGGCCCTTCAAAGCCGGGCTTCCCGGACACCGTGCACTGACACTGCCCGGCAGCCTGCCGCGCCGCACAGCCGGGGCCGCAGTGTCCGGCGGAGCCTGACTCGCCCGGCCGGTGACTCAGAGAGAAGTTCCCACTTTGCTTGGCCGCCACGGTTTCAATTTCACATCCCGGCTAGCACTGCCATGATCATCTGTCTATCTCTCATGTGCTCAGGGGCCTCAATTCTGGTTTTGTATGCATTAAACCGTACTCGGTCTTGACTCGGAGCAAAACAGTGTCTTGTTACTCGTGACACTGAACTAAGGTCGATATGGTGTCTGCATTACGGCTTTGGCACAGTACAAGTATGTTAGACTTGTGCTCCGTCAGTCACTTGAATGCGGCCCGGCGGCGGCCCGCCGGGGCCCGGGCCGCTCAGAGTCCGGGCAGCCGCTAACGCGGCGGCGAACTTCAAGCCCGGCACGGTCGGCGATGGGACTCAGTCCCGCCGGGGGGCCACGGGCCCCGGGCCCGGCAGGGCCCCCGGCAGGGCGCCCGGGCCGGGCCACCCGGCCGTGGCCGTGGCCGGACGGTCACCATCAAGTTGTCAGCAGCCAGTGCCCTCGGCCAGTGACTCTACGGTAGTACCCGGCGTGCCAGACGCCCGGACTCCGGCCGCGCTGAGTCTGAGCCTCCAGGAGTCCGGCGGGACCACTCGGTCTGACCGCCGGGTACGCCCGGCCGGGCCGTCACTACGGCGGCGGTCCGACCGTACCGTACCGTACCGTACTACGGTACCGTACGGGGGCCGTCAGCTGAGCCTCAGGGCCACACCGCCAGCCTCCTCCCGGAGTCCCGTCCGGGCCGGCGGCGACGGCCGTCACTGACTCCCGAGTGACTGACTCAGTGAGTGCCAACAGTTCGGACTCCGGGAATTCGGAACAGGCTTCGCATTCCTCCCGACGGTCCGGCTTCGCATTCCACTCTTCTTTACTCAAAGTTAAGTTAAAGATCAGTACGAGGACAATCAGGAGAGTCGAGGAGGCTTGACCCTGACACTGTCGCACAGGCCAAACGGCGAGAAGAGAAAAGACAGCGAGAACCAAACCCAATCCTGCCAACCAGGCCGGGCTCAGAGTCAAAGTTAAGTAATAATGGCACCACTGGGACCCGGCGGGACCGTGACTCAGTCCGAGCCGACGGCGGGCGGCGGCCCGGCCCGGCCGCCCTGATCGGACCGTCGATGATCTCGCCCGGGCCCGCCTACGTAGCAGGCCGCTAATCGGAGCCTCGGAGTCTCAGCGGCTCGGAGTTCAGAATTGAACCGGCGGTACTACCCCACATTTACGGGTGACTAGTACCATAGTACGGTATCTTTTACTCAAAGTAAATAGAATGATCCGTACTACGGTAGTACGCCGGGGACTGACGGTTCGGCTAAATCGAGTTTTTAAGTGGTCGGAGTCATAATTCGAAATCGAGCGAAATCAGATGGATCGGGGCAGTGTTCGTGAGACTCGCGCATGACACCGCCGAGAGGCCGCACTTCTTGAATTTTTCGCCTCACTTTTTATCTTCAGAGGTAGCAAAATCCGGCAAGTAAAGGTCTGTCTTCCTGACTGTAGCCTCTTCGATCTTGAGGCAAGCCCGACACGATTAAGGCTGCTCGGATATGGTCCTAATTGTTGACTGAAAGCATAATTCAATTTTCCACCCAAGAACAAAGAAAGTTGACCTGCGAGTCGGGCGGTCACGTCCAACTTCAAGCACAAGCCGCACAGCACATGATCTGTGCAGCAAGTAGAGACTGAAAGTGCGATTTCACTTCCATCCTGAGCAATTCACGCGATTGTCAATAGTTTTTAATGCATGGATGGATCAAGTATTCACAATTGAATGCAGTTGATCAAATAAATCATCCTTGTTAGCCTCTTGAGATCCGGCGTCCCATCACCATGTACGGCACCATCGCAATTACACTAAGTACACACTTGTCTGATTTGCTGGTGGATGATCGTAGCCCAAACATCTTATCGTAGTTTTCTTGTTCTTCTTGATCATGCCCTTCCAAAAGTTTTCCTGTGCAAATTCTTACAAAAAATCCTCTACCTCTCCTACATCGTGAACAGGGCAGAATGCAATGGTGTTGTATTGTGAAATCAATGCTCCACCCCTCGCATGCTTGTCTGCGCCTTCAAAGAGCGGACTCATCATCTCCTTGCAGATCAATCCTTGTGTTCCTGTTGCATCCCTGTATCATCCTTCGGCCAGCATTGCGTTCTTTGCTCGTTCCGTCCTACCCCCCCTTCGGTTTGTTTTTTTTTCATCGGAGGTCCGGTGCGGTCACGGTCGTGTCGAAGTACGGGTCTTTTCGAAGCTCTGATGGGGGTGGGGTGATGTCAGAACCTGTTCTTGTTGGGGTTCTCATTGAAGAGACGGTATCTACAGATAGGGAGATAGGGGTGTGTTACATACCACCGGTGGTCTCCGTGTTCAATCAGGGTGGGGGTAGTCGATCAGCGGCGCAAAAAATTGATTTATTAATGGGACTAGCCCCCTACCCCCGTCCGATGACCCGGAACAAGATACGACTGGGGGGGTGTAAGTAAATTCATGACCACCCCACCCCCTCGTTCTTTGTAAAATCGACCATCATTGGCTTTTTGGATCCTGCTGCACAACCTCCCGACCCCCAACCCCCACTCCTCTCCTCTCCTCTCCTCTCCTGCCTCCTGCCTCCTGCCTCCTGCCTCCTGCCTCCTGCCTCCTGCCTCCTGCCTCTCTGTCGCCACTTCCTCCTGCCTCTTTGCTCGATCCCCGCCTTCAGCCTTGACATTTCTTTCTGAATTTGCTAGTCTCATCATTGGGGTCGGCTGTCGCTGCCATTTTCTCCGCCCCGCCACATCGTCGTAGCCCATCCCTTTCATTTCTGTATTGCATCTTCCGCTCTCACGTCGATTCTTCGCCCTTCTCCTTCAAGAGCTCAGTTTCTGATTGTAGGAAGCTCGACGATATCAAGTCGCGGACTTCCTAGGAATGAAGAGTTCCCCCTGGCCCTCCCATGGAGACTGACCTTGGGCTCAAGACTGCATGACATTTTGATAGATCTGTGGAATATTCACTGCATGACATTGTGATGGATCTGTGAAATATTTACACGACTGTGCACACGTTCAGACGCGAGCAGATGTTCAGTTTTAATTCACAATATGAGGTAACACGGCAACAAGACAACCAACAGGGTACAGTGATGTTGGCAGCGACAATCTGTCCTGTATCATCTCCCTCGGCTCCGAGCGAATCTTCTCCTGTCAACCGTTTTCTTGTCGCGCAGAAGGCCCGCGAGCGAGAATGCAGGGCGGAGCAGAAGAGAAAGCTCAGAAGGGAGCAAAACGCTCTGGTGGCAAGGCTGGACGAGCTGCTTCCTGATCAAGCCAAGACCGAGAACTTCAAGGGAGTGGGTCACAGATCGCTGGGGTCCTCCGGTCGATCGCTGTCCCTCGTCCTGCAGGATGCCTGTAAAGTTCTGAGGAGTTTGAACGCCCAGCCTAGGCAGCCAAGCTGTCAGGCTCCTACCAGCGCAGCTCTCTACCGCGAGCTTCTTCTGTCGAGCCGATGCTTGCACATAATGGAGGTAGACCTCGACAGACTGAAGGTGACAGCCATGAGCGAATCGGCGAAGCAATACTTCCACCTCACGGAGAGGAAGGACGTATTCGAGGCTGTCGACCCTCAGCTGCGGGTTGATGACCACCGGATGTTTCAGACTTTCGTGCTGGAGCTGAGGTACTCGGCTGAGAGGCGGGTCAGCGCACAAGTGCTTCTGAAAGCTCAAGGAAAACAGAAGCAGGAAAGCAAGCCGTCGATTCCTGCCTTCCTGGTCGAGTCAGACTGTCAGCTGCACCATGTGAACGCGTTCCTCGCCAGGACCGGAGTGACTGCGGGCAGATGGAACCTTGCCGTGCTCGTGTTCTCTCCCTCAGAATCGATCCGAGGACAGCAAGGAGGACAAGAACGTCCTGCCCCTCCCTGCAATAGCCGCATGTTGCTCACTTCCCAGCTCACGTCCAATGAGGCGAACCTGATGAATCGTCTGGCGTTCTTCGCTCCTGGCGGGGTCAAGGTGACTGCAGTCAAGCGAGTATGAGCAGCGCTCCCACAGGGGTTGGCTTGCACATGCTCAGCCAGGAAGCGGAGTTTGCGGTCTGTTCGTACCGCACCATGGTGTCCAATCCTCGACGTTTCTGCTCTCCGCCATGTCTCCCCGTGTGTGTTGTCGTGCATCCTTGGGTTGAGTTGTGGTAGGATGCCTTGAGGGAGCTCAGGTGAGCCTGGCTGTTGCTGCAGCGTTTCAAGGGAATAAAGACGATCGTTGCCATTGTTCTTGTAACTGAACCAGACAACGTCCGGTGACCAATGGGCGGAAGCATCTTCAGTGTAGAGAAGCATGCTCCTAGCAGACCTCTCAACTCGTCTCCCTCGTACTCTCCCTCCCTCCCCTCCCCTCCCCGCCTCTGCCCTCCCTCCTCTCCCCTTCCCTTGCCGTCCTTGCCCTTCCCCCTTTGCATATTAGAGGTTTCTGAGGCGGGGTACAAACAGGACGATGAGGCGAACATGGCATTGGAGGGATGCAGAGGCAGGGAGGGAGGAGGGAGGAGGGAGAGAGGGGCGGGCAGGCGATGGAGGAGGAGGAGGAGGAAAGGCAGGCAGGCAGGGGCTTCTGAGCCTCCTCGTCCAATCTTCCAACGTCCGTTGCTTCCAGAGGGAGCGGGAGGGACGTACGGTGAGGAGGCGTACCGAGGGAGAAAAGTAGAGGAGAGGGGGAGTGAGTGGGATGGACGAGGAAGCGGAGAGGGAGAAGAAGGCCGTGCGTGCACCGAGGTGCTCATAGGGCAAGAGGATGAAGGGGATCGGTAGAGTGAGGGCGAGAGGAGATGGAGGAAGGTTAGTGAGGGATCTGCTGTAGAGAGGATTCTACAGCAGAGTCTTTGAAAGTACGGGAGATGATATTGTGTGGCGTTATGCTAATCGACGATAAAAGAAAGCAAGATGGAAAGGAGTGGCCATGGCGGAGGAAAGAGAAGACCTCTATGGGGGATTGAGACGGGCTGACACGATAACGATGAAATGGATGATGAAGTAGATGACGATGACGATGACGATGACGATGACGATGACGATGACGATGACAATGACGATGACGATGACGATGACGATGATGTTTTGCAGTGTTCACGGTTCACAACCTTCTGGATGTTGACACTTTAGATCGACCGCATCTTGGGCGACAGCTCCACATGCAGGGACCTCAGGCAGTTCCAGCTCAGGTTGCTGAGGGTGAAGCTCAGCAACCTTGTCCGGTTGTTCTCAGAGGAAGCATGCGCATGAGTTTGGACCCTTCTAGCGTCAACGACGCCATTGCTGCCGTTCAGAGTGCGTTGCAGGAGCAGCTCCGGAACGAGGACGGGCAGGCGAACGATGGGATAGAGAGAACCCAACTGGGTCTCAACACTCAATCTTCTACCGACGTGCTGGACACGCAGGATGAGGATGAGGAGGAAGAGGAGGAGGAGGAGAGTGGCGACGAGGAGGAGAAAGACAAGGGAGGGTTCCTCCGGACATCGTTCGAGGTGAAGCGGTATGCCGTCCGTGACGACCCGAGCAGGAGCGCGTTTGAGAATGAGAGTCAGATGCTGCTTCTGATGCAGGTGAACAGCAAGGGAGAATACTTCATGAGGACCGACCTCTCGAGGATCGACCTCCTCACTGCCTGCCGCAGCGACATCGCTGCTGTGACTGGGGAGAAACTTGGGCCCTCGTCCTCGCCCTCCCCCTCCCACGACTACTTGAGCTCCTGCGCAAACCTCCACCTGCGGGACCTCAGGAGGCTGACGAGCTTCCAAGGGCATGCGATCATGGCAAGGAGAGGAGCGATCGTCCTTGCCCTCGGCTTCCTGAACGCGGTCATCACACACTGCAACGCCTACATCGTCATCCCCGACGGCACCGACCACTTGCTCCAGCCGTTCCTGGTCAGACTGAACAAGGGGACGCAAGATTCCTCCCTCGACATTCCCTTCGAGTTCAAGGTGGTGGAGGCGATCCTGCTGACGCTGGTGACGTACCACTCGGAGGGAGTGCAGACATGCGTAAACGAGAAGCATGGCATAGCAGAGGGGCTAAGGAAGACGATAGGCAGCAAGATGCTGACCAGGATCTGGAAGCTCAAAAGGTACCTGTCGCAGCTCCATGAGGACATTGCGGGCTGCGAACGAGCCATCGAGGAGGTTCAGACCGATCAGGACGCCCTAGCGCTCATGTACCTCTCCGCCATGCAGGAGGACGCCGTCACCTACGAGGCGCTGCTGAGGGCGAGGAAGGGGAACACCGAGCACGTCCAGCTCCTGCTGGACACTTACGAGCTGGAATTTCACGCCCTCTCCTCCCAGCTGATGCTCATCGAGAAAGAGGTCGGCGACTTGCGCGCGCTGATGTTCCTCAAGCCTGCCTGCAGATCGAGGGGACTGAGGACCTGCTCACCCTGCAGCTGGATGTGGCAAGGAACAACCTGTGGAAGGTGGTTTTCCTCCTCCTCCTCATCCTCATCCTCATCCTCCTCCTCCTCCTCCTCATCCTCCTCCTCCTCCTCCTCCTCATCCTCATCCTCATCCTTGTCCTTTTTCTCATCGTCCTCTTCTTTCTCGTCCTCTTCTTTCTCCTCGTCCTCGTCCCTGCTCTCCTCCCCCTCCTTACTCCTCTCCTGCCTCCTTCCTCTCGTACCACTCTCTTCCATCATCTCTGGTATATTCACTCTCTTCCTCTCTCCTCACGCCTTCCCTTCCCTTTCATCATCCTCTTCCACTCACTCTAATCGCTCTCCTACCTCAGGTTGACATTCTTGTGGGCATGGCGACCATGTGGATCACCGCTGCTCTCATGGTAATCGCAACCTTCTGCCCATGCACCTGCTTCTCCTCCTCTCTCCTCTCTCCTCTCTCCTCTCTCCTCTCTCCTCTCTCCTCTCTCCTCTCTCCTCTCTCCTCTCTCCTCTCTCCTCTCTCCTCTCTCCTCTCTCCTCTCTCATCCTCTACCCTGCTTGCCCTCGTACATTCTCTTTCGTCCATGCTCCCCTCATGTCCTCCATTTCCGTGTCACTCCTCCTCTCTTCTCC